AGTTAGTTAGTTAGTTAGTTAGTTAGTTAGTTAGTTAGTTAGTTAGTACATTTTATTGTTGGATGTAACAGGGACCATGTGTACATAATTTTGTTCCACCACATGTACCACATGAAATGTGAATGACAAATAAATCTCTGTCTCTGACTTTGATTTTCATTTTCATTAAGAGTTTCAAGCTTTGATGAGTTTTCCTGAATGCGTGAATGTGAATCTTGTGCTGCACATGAAGTGCTTCAGGTCTAAGTGTAAGTTTCCTCGTTCACAGTACTTGTGGTATACTTTTTTTGTGGTGTGTGTTTGTTAGCATTCATTAGATCTGAGGTTAGCGGGGTATTCTCAGAGAGCTGGAGTTGTTTTGTATCTTTAATTTGCGTTTGTCATTTTTTAAAGCCATCACCACGGTGGGATAAAGCCTCAGTAAACCCACTGTCATGGTTTAATAAAATAATAGTGACTCACTTGTGCGTGCTAGTCTGAGCTAAGACTGAAACATGTTGAAACAGCTCCATTAAAAATAGTAACAATAACTCACAATTTACATTTTAAAGATTTTGCTCTTGGAACATGAAAAAATGCACATTTTATTTTCTTTTTCAGCACAACAACTGTTTTTCTTTGTAAACCTATAGTTACAGGAGCAAGATGTTTTTTTAAGTGTAATTAGCTGTGTCTTTACTTTGCATGACTCTGATAGTGTAACTTTACATTCATTCATAGATGAGAACTGAAATAATATACTTTAAAAAGTTCACTAATTCAGCTCTTTTCAAAAGATCTCTGGGTGTCCAGGTCCAACCTGATGGAAGGACACGAGGGAACGTGATTAGACAGACAGAACACGAAACACAATTTTTCTCCCAAGCTGCAGGGCTCCTCATGTAGAGAATCCAGCCATCTGTATAAATGATTAAACAGTCTTTTAAGGGGCAGCTCCCACTGGACTGGAGAACATGAACTACATTGCTGTCCAACCTGGAGTGGACTTTTCATTCAGGAGCACACACCGTCAGGCTGAGGTTAATGAGATGCTCGGCTGCTCTTTGCTGTTCCTCGCTCTCTCAGCCTCTCTGCCAACGAAACACCTGACACATCCAGCATGGATCCCAGCAGAGTTCTCTCATGAGTACTGGTTTGCTGCAGCTGCATACTGCACTGTTAGCTGCTTCACTCATCATGCCTTTGAAAAGACTGACTTGTTGGCTCATCGTGACATTCTTAAGATTTTATTATCACTTTACTGGTTGCTGGTTTTTGAACGCATGGAATTCTGTTTGGAAAATAAAACAACTTTGTCTATATTAGTATAAATCTCAAATTGCTATAATGTCCAGTCCTAGTTTATAAACTCTATGTAGCTGATGAGTTATTGCTCATTCTGTTTCATTAATTAACGCCTCAGCCATGAGAGGATCATGTGTCTGTGTCTGTGTTCATTTGTCTTTTAGCAACACACCTCAACAACCAAGGACATATTTTAGTGAGACTCTCTGAAGATAATCATTGGACGTGCATCTACGACAGATTCATATTCAAAGTCAGTCCAATTTAAGATGTCTGCCAAAGCTAACTAAACCTAGCAAACACAAAAAAGGTTATAAATCAGTCAGTTTTTCTGATATTGAGCTAACATCTGATGTGGCTCAGAGTCATCCACCAGCATATGACAAGTGCTAACAGATTGCACAAATTTTAAATGTATAAAACCTTGGCCTTCAAGGCAGCGTGTGATGTACAGTCCTTTGATGAATGCTTCTTTCTTTTCTCGCATCTTCCTCCAGGACTTGACGGTGCTGGTGGCCAACGGCACCATCAGCTCCAAGCCTCCAGTCACTCTGCGGCTCGTCATCCCTGCCAGCCAGTGCGGCTCGCTTATTGGGAAAGGAGGCGCAAAGATAAAGGAGATCAGAGAGGTGAGCATCCAGAACAGAAACTTAACACGAAGGCTATTTCATGGCTAAAACAATGCAAACCTGTAGAAGATGGAAGAAGATGCTGCAGCTGGATGATAAGAGTAATGCATGAAAACTCAGATTTGTGTTGCACTGCATAATTTGTATTATGTTCATTTTAAGGCGCTATATGAATTAAACAGTTTTATTTTTAGTCATTACATTCAGTTTTGTTGTGGGGGGGCAGATAACTAAATAAATTATAAACATTTCATCAAAGCAGACAAAGTTCTTGCAAAGGAAGATAAAGCAACAACAGAAACCAAAACGGAAAACGAGATGAGGCTGGTAAAGACTCACACCTCGAACTCTGATATAGACATGGACGGCTAACTTAAATAAGCAAAGGGACATAAATACTGAGAGAAAGTAACAATCAGATCAAGAGCAGGTGTGCTGATTGGTCCGTGAGATCAGGTGAGAAAAGGTCAGGATGCAAAACTATTTTTAAAACAAATCACATAACGAATATTCGCTGACTGGGAGATTTTTCTATTTGATGTTAATCTAATTCAAAACTGTCAGATTAAATCTAAATTTAGAAAGGCTTTCAGGTTGTAGTCTCTGAGAGAGAGCTGCTTCCTGACAGGAAGTGCTCGTTTACACAAAGCTAGAAATGTGCCGATTGGATTCATCTGGACAGCAAACATGTCTGACCTAGTTTCTAAAAGTATGAACACAGTCTGAAATATTAAAAAAATTAAGTACTTTGATCTGCAGAAATAATACTGAAAACATACCTGGCTGAAGGTATCACCTGATCTCACGGTTGATTTAATTTATTGGCAGCAGGTCAGTAAATTTACAAAATGATCTCCTGTTTGGGTCTGAGGTGCCTGACTGATGAAACACAGCTGTTCAGAAAGCAGATGTTTTGTAGATATTGAAACCAAAACATTTAAATTCATTGAAACGGATCACCTAACATACAGCTGAAATCAGCTGTGGTGATTTGATTTGGGGAAAATCCCTGTTTACCTTAATTTTTCTCATTTTAAGCTTAACTTCTGCTCAGCTGTTTCTATAGTTGGACTGGTTTTATTGTCTGGATCAAATCCCACAGCTGCTTTGATTTGAGATTTGATTTTTCTAGTTTCCAATGGGCACGTGTTACGTTGTCATGGTATGAGACGGATGTATTTGTGCTTTGTGTTACTTATTACTAATGGATTTTAAAATCAACAAGTGAAAGCTATGAAGGTTTTGAGTCATTCGTATGTCCTTAGGAGCAAAACACAAAAGAATCCAAATGATTTTAGGAAATGCCACAAACTGAAACTCTGACATTTAAGAATTAAAATATATTTTTTATTTTTATATTTAATAGGTGGAAGCAAACGTTGCTCAGAAACCAAGAAGAAGTCATGTCTGTGATGTCAGATGGTCTCATCTCCTGAATCGAGCTAATTTTCTTTCAAACCTTTGTCGTTTGTAGAGCACAGGAGCTCAGATACAGGTGGCCGGGGATTTGCTCCCCAACTCTACGGAGCGAGGGGTGACGATATCTGGGAATCAGGACTCTGTAATCCAGTGTGTCAAGCTCATCTGCACAGTAATCCTGGAGGTAGGAAGCACACTGTTCCTCTCTTTGTGCAGTGCTCCCACACCTTGTCAAAGCTTTTGTCGCTGCGGCGGCGCAGAGGAAAATGATGGCTGCCGACACGCGTTTTTAATCTCACCGTGCCGTTGCTCATTCAGCTGCATAAATAGTTCATGTATTTCTCATAAGCTGCATGTTGTTGATTCCTGCGAGGTCACTGCATTCAGCTCGAGTCTTTGTGTGACTCACACTGTGTGGCAAATATGAAGAACTGAGTCCTCTGTGCAAAAACCTGGGAAGGTCTTGCGTTATTAAGAGGTCAAGGGTCAGTTTTATAAAAGACAATCAATTTCTCACAAGAAAAGAATAAACATAAAGCAGAACAATCTGTCCAACTTTAGACAACGTTTCTCTTGAAAAAAACTGAGCAGGAGATGGGAAAAACATCCCTAAGCATGTATTAATGGACGTGCACACATTTGGGTTTGTTTTTAGTGTGTGTTCGCGCTGCAGCTGGACCCAACTGACTAATTGCTGGTTTGATCCAGATTTCCAGGGCATTTCTTCAAAGGCTTGTGAGTTTCATTAGGATTCTGTACCAGCAGCATCTTGCTTTCGGCTCCAAGATTTAAATTATGCAAAGTTATACAAAGAATTGTCTGCGATGTTAAACCCAAAACAGTATCACCAGCACTGCAGTGACTTGATAAGATATACACAGTCATGTACACTTCATAATCTCCGTCTCTTACCGGTGTTGGAAGAATTTTATCTTCAAATGTCTCCTTGTCAGTAGATGCTTTATTTAAATGGAGGGCAGGACTCTGCAGATATTATCCACGTGGAATATTCACTTTCTTTTTCTTATTTAGTATCTAAAAGGGGTACTTCAGAAGATTTAAAATCAGGTTTTGTAGACAAGGTTATGAACCATTAATATGCTGTTGTAAATGGATAAATGACCTCAGTTTGGATCATTTGGATGATGCTAACAGCTAGTTAGCTTGTTTTAGGACCAAAGATTGCCTGCTTCCAAACAACTCTAATATAAAAAAATAATAATTAAAAGGGGTTCATGTGAATGGGCAGCACGGTGGCGCAACTGGTAGAGCTGCTGCCTCTCAGCAAGCAGGTCCTTGGTTCAAACCCCGGTCCAGGGGCCTTTCTGGGTGGAGTTTGCATGTTCTCTCTGTGCATGCATGGGTTTTCTCCGGGTACTCCGGTTTCCTCCCACAGACCAAAAACATGCATGTTAGGCTGATTGGTAACTCTAAATTGTCCCTAGGTGTGAGTGAGAGAGTGAATGGTTGTTTGTCTCGTTTGTCTCTATGTGGCCCTGTGATGGACTTGTGACCCGTCCAGGGTGTACCCCGCCCCTCGCACAGTAATTGCTGGACATGGGCACCAGCAACCCCTGTGACCCAAAATGGAATAAGCGGGTAAAGATAATGGATGGATGGATGGATGGTTCATGTGAATTATATTTTAATAAACATTGACATTGCTGTTAACTTTACATTAAACATTTATTTTGACGGAGGTAGCGTGACATCACTGCTGGCACCAGAAGTGCTAAAGCTAGCAGCTGCTGATGATATGCTTACAAATAACCATGTAATTCCATATAAATATCAGTGTAATGGGAAATGATCATCAGTGTAAAGGTTCATAAAATAGTGTTTGCATGAAGCACTGCAAAGTTTTGGAAAATAGTTGTTTTTAGACGGCAACAGTCCGCCTCGGTTGTGGCCTCGCTCAAAATAGCTTTTAGCTTGTCAATCAGGTCCTGATGAATGTCTCCAGAACTCAGCTCATTCTAAGAGCTATTGTCAGAAAAAAATTCATTCACTAACGTTGCTTAATCAAAAGAACTACAACTCACAGCAGGTGAAGATTTTTTTTTAATTGACTTTACTTGCAAGGACCCGTTCAGGACATAGATAAATGCATATGCATGAAAACAATGTCACAGAATGAGCCTTGAATCGAGTCATCTACAGACTTTTAAACAGTTCAGTGGAGTTCAGTGGCTCTTCCCCCGTCCTGTAGCCAGCTGCAGTCCCAACAAAGAAAGACACGCTGACATGGTGCATGTCCATCAGAGGCTCTGCGAGTCAGTCTCCAGGTCGAGATAAGAGATTGCTTTTGGCTCAAGGCAGGAGAGGAAGGTGTTCTCAGCCACAATATAAAAACACAACAAAAACATAGCCCTCGACAAAAATTCTCTAACAGCCATCTATAACAGGTAAGATAGTAACTGTTCATATACTTTTCACTGAACTCCACTTTGAATGACCATTTGAATTAATGCTAAATTTTAAAAGCAGGTTAAAGAGGGCTCTCGGGTCATTTTGCAGCTACTATGCCGAGCGCTTTTATGTTTAGAAGATTTGTTTTCTGGTCAAAGTTTATGTGACACCTGATTGTTTGACTTGTTTTAACCCTAGTCTCCACCTAAGGGTGCCACCATCCCTTACCAACCGAGCCCTTCCCCAGCTGCTCTCCTCATCGCAGGGAACCAGGTGAGAACAAGAGATTTCTACCACACAGTTGACCCACACAGTTCACTTGGTTTTCATTATGAACATTGGAACGGTGGCTGCTACGGCCTTAAATTAAGGTAAATTAAATACATCTGTTGGACGTTAAGGCAAACTCACTCTACTGATGGTTTACTGTGCTGACTCTGAAATAAAACAGATTAATGACAATAGAATTGGTGAAACTAAGTCACTGCAAATATGCACAAAAATAAACAAAGCTAAATTATTACCAATCAAAACTTGGGCAACTATTGGACTTTTCAGAGATGATTTGATTTGTGTTGCTGTTGTGCTGTGCAGGGTTGTGGAGGATGATTAGATGGGTCATCTGATGGTCGAGTGGTTGTTCATCACAAAACGATCGCACGCTCACAGTGTCCTCATCACGACACGCTTCACCCAACTCAAGTCAGAGGATGCAGAGTCCAGGGATCTTATTGTCACACCACATTTAGAGATAACTTTACATGTTTTCTTTGCAAAGTGGCTAACTAGAAGTTCATCGTGTTAAACATTTAGAATATTGTTTTTCTTAGTTATTTAACTGAAAACTCATAACAAGGCTCAGAATGAGAGGAAAGTTGAATTATAAAAGATGATGATGATGATGAAAATTTGAAAATATATGCTCAAGTAAAAGTATGTTATTGGATGATATCTCTGGAGTCAGTAGAATGATCGAATGTCCAATATTTGTAAAGCGATTTCCTTCTGGATAAAAATAGTTGCCTGGTAGACAGACAAAAAATAATCTTACCATAATTGTATTTATTTTGCACAAATAAAAATAAAATACATGAAAAAGCAAATAATTACTAATATTAATAGAAACACCAAACATAATGACTCACTAGATAAATATATAAAATAATTTAAAGTCTTTAGCGTTCCTTGAAGGAATGCATATGACTCGCTCCTTCTTTTGTCAGAGTTTGATACTAAGATCATCATTTTTTTAAAGAATGAACAGAGTTAAAGCTGCAGGAGTTATATATAATTTACTAAATGACAATTGAAGCTATAGCTCATAAAAACATGTATTAAAATCCTCATGTCAGGGCTTTCAAACTACAGTACTCAGTTCAGTGTGTTATGATAATTAAATTAAATTAAATGACAGAAATAAACTTAAGCACAATTTTCAGTCATGGTACAACACATTGTGTATTTGCTGCTCCTTCAATTCCTTGTTGTTTGCTGGGTAATTATAGATTTGATGCATCAAAACAATAAGCCTGTTTCTCTTTTCAAAAAGATGCTTTTCTCCATTTCATGCAGCGTCTATTTAAGTCCTATTTGTTAGACTTTTTAAAAATTTGGTTATGTTTAGATAACTGTAAAAAGCCCAAATAAGTAAATCTGATGTTACATTTTCATATCATTATTTTAAAATTAGTCCCTTCCTGCACAGCATATCATAGATTGATGCTGCATAAATGACAGTATCGGAAGTTACAGTAGTTATTAACATAAAATGTGTTTACATTTTTGGAGGGCATCTAAAGCAGGGCTATTCAACTAAAATGCTCAGGGGGCCACAGTTACTGAGAGCAAAGAGCTCCGGGGCCAGACATCCTGCAGTTATTGTCATTAAGTAAGTTTGTTTTATGGTTTCAAATCTAGTTTTATTTCAAATGAACCCATTGGTGGCCCCAACTGAGTTAATCCGTTGGCCTGATTTGGCCCCCATGCCGCCAGTTGAATAGCCCTGATCTAGAGGTTTGTAAATGACCCCGTGGGGCTCCACTCCCCTCTGGATTAGCAGCGCTGAATGTTTTCAGTGAGTTTTCCCCAAAATATCTTGTTCTTCGTCAAATTCTTTCCCGCCTCCTGTATTGAAGGTCGTCAGTGAGTGGGACTGGGTGGATTTTGTCAGTTTGAGCGCTGCAGACGCTGTGGTTTGAGCAGGGGCCGACATCCACCCTCCTATGGAGCGAGTCACGAGATTAGCAAGTGGGACTGGAGACCTGCCGTCTCCTCTGGCTGCAGCAGCAGCCACATACTCTGCATAGCTGTCAGCAGTTCTGACACAGTTTGTGCTGCTTCAGACTGGAGCCAATTTATAGAACGGCTTTGTGTTTTTGATATGCCTCATAATAGGCAATAAAATTAAACTCGAGACACGATGCTGGTCACTGAGAGCAGAGTGTAATGAAGGCGTGCAGCGATAAGGAAGGATAAATCTCTGGGGAAATGAAGCGAGGGGTGGGAAAGGGTCAGAGGATGAGTCACAGCCTTTAAGCCTGTTAAGTGTGTGGAAGTGTCAGAACTGCAGAATGGAGAGGCCGGCGCTGAGCAAATACAGTGTGATGTGCAGAAATAGCCTGGAAAGAAGTAAAAACTGGAAGTTTCTGTTTGTTTTTTTTTACATAAAATCCACCACTGACGACTGGTGAGACAGATACCCCCACTCATCTGCACCCTCCGTGCAGAAACACCAGCTCAACACACAAACACGGTGACAGATTTTCATTGTGTGGCTTTGTTTTGTTTTTTTAGATTTTTGAAGCCTCAGAATTCGCCCCCCATCCTCTGTACACAATTACCCAGGGTGGCCTGGACCTCCAGCAGGTAAGAGAGCAATCGATCTGTGAATAATATAAAATCACCTGAAAGAGTTCTCTTGTTTCAAACACTGACTGGTCCTGACGCACACACCCTCTTAATGGGCAGCACAAGAATAAGTGTGAGCGCCGTGCTGACCCTAGTGGTGAGTGAGGGCAGGGGTTGTGTGGTATGTGCACAGTAACACCGTCCAGCAGGCGGTATGAGGCATTAAACCCAACAGCTGAGCATAAGCTGCAGCTATTGTTCTGGCTTTTCATAAGAGCTATAAGCAGTGCTGAAACCTGATGCCGTCACACACCACCACAGATCTGCTGGGTCTTTTTTTGTCCTGCCAAGCGCTGCACCACAAACATTTCAGCTTCAGGAAAATTCCTCCCCTGACAACAAGAGCAGCTTCTGTTTTTTTGTTGTTGTTGTTTTTTCATCTTCAACTCAGAATGTGGTGGAAAGAACTACAACCTCCCACTGTGTCATATAAAGCAGAAAAACTTCACATTCCAGATTTGCTCGTGTGGGAAATGGTTCAAGATTATCGTTATGAATTTGTAGCGCCGGCTTCCTTCTTTATAGAAACGCAGCCTGAGATGCACTGATGCAGAGGGAGGATGGGCTCTCCTCCCCAGTTTACAAGCGTACAGGATGGACTGGTAATAGAAGGCAGACTGCTGGCGTCAGGCAGAATTGAGTTAAGCTAAGTGCTGTCTGGTAGGGCCATAACTGTAACGATTTGGAGAGTGGGGGGAGATACAAACACACCACCCTTAATTATTTAGACAGACAGCAAGACAGGTGGATATTTTCTCTTTCCTACATCTTTGATGCGGCTACATCTAGCACAACAGCAACTTGGTCGTCCATCCTGCTAATATAGACAACAGGTAAACAAAAACACATTTTTATTAAAGGCCTGGCATTCCTTGAATATGCGCATATTGCCCGCCATCTTTTGTGCCAGAGTTTTAAAGAAAGACCTTTTGTTGAGAAGTGACAGAAACTTTTAGATTAATCCTTGATCATCCCTTGACCTGGTTATTTTGCACTTGTTCGTGCTCGAAGCACATGTTGCAAATAGAGACATCAAGTTTTAGCTCAGTATCTGTGAGTTTGACTGATTCATAGCTTTTTTTAGTTTGCTAGGTTGGTGGCCATCTTGATTTGAGTTGATCCCAGATGTTAATCAGTTTTAGATGGACTTCCAGTGATTGTTTTCTGAGAGTTTCAATACAATCCATCCAGTGGTTCATGGGATATTTTGCTAACAGACAGATAAACAAACACATAGGCACTCAAACACATGCAATTCCATTAGCGCTTGACTTTCATGGTGGCAGGTGATACAGGGATAATTAGGGAGAAAAACTTTAGTTTGGTATTTATTAAAATAAGAACAATACTTGGACAGTATGTTCCTAAAAATCTGTTCTAACATATGAGGTCAAGCAGGAATCCCCATGGATTATGATGTATGCAGATGACATTGTGATCTGTGGTGAGAACAGGGAACAGGTGGAAGAGAACTTGGAGAGGTGGCGGTGTGCACTTGAAAGAAGAGGAATGAAAGTCAAGCCGTACTAACGACAGAGGGAGTCCGGTGGAACAGTGAGGCTACAAGGAGCAGAGGTCACAAAGGTGCAGGACTTCAAGTACTTGGGGTCCACTGTCCAGGAAAATGGGGTGTGGTAAAGAGGTGAAGAAGAGAGTCCAGGCAGGACGGAGTGGGTGGAGAAAAGTTTCAGGATTGATTTGTGACAACAGGGTGTCAGCAAAGGTCAAAGGAAAAGTTTACAAGGCAGTGGTGAGACCAGTTATGTTGTATGATCTGGAGACAGAGACATGGACAAAAAGACAGGAGAAAGAGCTGGAAGTGGCAGAAATGAAGATGTTCAGGTTCTCCTTAGGAATGACAAGGATGGATAAGATTAAGAATGAGATCATCAGAGGTACAGCACAAGTTGAACAACTGGGAGATAAAGTTAGAGAGACCAGACTGAGATGGTTTGGACATGTCCAGAGGAGGGACAGTGGGTATACTGGTAGAAGGATGTTCGAAATGCATCTGCCAGGAAAAAGATAAAGAGGAGATATATGGATGCAGTTAGAGAGGACATGGAGGTAGTTGGAGTGAGGACAGAGGATGCAGAGGACAGAGATGGAGGAGGATGACTCTCTGTGGAGACCCCAGAAGAGGAAAAGCCAAAAGAAGAATAAAAAGAAGATCCTATATAACAATGTTTTCTAATGTTTGTTTTGCCAAAAGGTGTTTTCTCAAGTGATTTGGGTGGTCGGTGCAGCGGCCAAACATTAAACTATGGTGGCTGTGACCACCACTGGCTCCTCCATTGCACCTGGTGGTGGATAAAATTGCTCTGTCCACTCGCCAGCCTGGATTCGTCACTCTGTGCTGCCTCAGACAAGAAAAAAAAAAAACTACCTCTGTTCTTTTACATAGTGCAACTTCTACCCACTTGAATATCTTGCAACAACAACAAGGTTGACTTGGATAATCTGTTCAATTCCAGTCCAGAAAATCACATCTTGAAAACTATAAACAGCCACAGTTCAAATCCCTCATCGCGGGGGGGTCAGTGGTGCACTGCTCGTTAATGTGGAGCCTTGAAAAATCATTTCACATGACAACAGAGTGGTTTTGTCTGCACAGTGCCAGAAGTCTGAATCTCAACTCTGAGCATTTCACAAACATTTGTCTTTTTCTGACATCTTTTTCACGTCACCATCCTCGCTGCTGTTGACAAACGAGGCTTTCCTCGTTCCAGTGAACAACTTGTGCTTCACGCTGGAACCACTCCAGATTTCTCCTGGTTACACTTCACACCTGACTTCTCTCACTGCAGAACCCTGAGGTGCATCACTGTAAAACTTTCTCATACGGTTAACAAACAAAACAAAAACTGCTGAGAAAAAATGTGTTGCAACTTTTTTTAAATGTTATGTTTTATTTAGGATTCTCTAAAAAAACCTTCATGTTTCAAAATATCATCACTCATTTGTTTATTCGGGTGAAGAAATTACAAAAATGGTGCACAAATCAGTCTTTGTTTGTTTTTCTGTTTTATTTTGGGAACCTAAATTAATAAAAAAACAAATGACAATTCATATATTTTTTTAAATGTTCTGTTCCATACATACTGGATATACAAATTGTTACAATTCAACTTTTGAAAATTCAACTTTTTAATATTTCAGTTCAGGGTTTTCACATATTCTGACCCAGTCAACAGACAGAAGCTTTTTTCTTTTTGGTTGGTTGATGCTTTTCTTCCACGTGGAGCAGCAGAGATGATGAATGTGAAGCCGTTCTCCGTGAGACAACGTGCATTTCCAAACATCCCGTCTGCTTTCATCTGTACTCCAAACTGTTTTCAAAAACAACTCCATATAGTTGGTGTCTCCCACACTGTGTCCACACTGAGGCGTGTTGTCCTGAGGAACAGAGAAACCGTTCCAGTGAAATATTTATGAGACATTGTTTTAAAGCTGTGAGCACCACGAGCAAAATACTATCGACCTCTATTGTGCTGAACGCACTGAGGAATATTAGGGGATTGTTCTCCATCAGGACAAATAAAAACCAAACTGCTGCAAAACGGGAATCATCACATTATTTTAATGTTTCAGCTGAAAATGTGACCGGTTGCTTTGATCATTTTAATTTAATGTTATTAGACAGCCTGCCGTGTATTGATGATGAAGCACTTTCATTAGGAAGCTGCAGATTTACTGCCTGTGACTGTGGCATTTTTATTGCTATAATTTACCTAATGTAGGACGCTTTTTCTCTTTATTTTCTCAGGCCTACACCTTGCAAAATCAATATGGCATTCCACACTCAGAGGTATGGCAGTTTTTGTGGGAGGATTATAACTCAATAGAGCCTGAGAAGTTTATGGTTTCGAGTTTCGCTGAATCAAGTTTTTCCTCTTTTGTTTTACAGCTGGCCAAACTGCACCAGCTGTCGATGCAGCGAGGCCTGAGTCCCATCGCCCAGCCTGCCTCGACAATCATGCCCGGTATGTGCGCTGTAATACAAGTCGGTGATTTTCTTGATTGTTCTCCGTCGCTCCAACAATTGCCTTTCCTTTTCTTTATCTGTAAGAAAACTTGGCTGTTTAACCTGCTCTACAGGTGCTGGAAGTAAAGGATCGCTGTTATTAGCTGCGCTGATAAGGAGCTTTTATTGGCTGGCGGGGAGGAGACGCGGCTTCATTGCTCCATTATATCTGCCAGTCAGAGAGAAACTATTATGTTCAATGATGTGTTCTGCAGAGTCAGAGACCTGGGAGCCAGAAAAGAATGAGCGTCGTGTTAAACATCAGCTCATTAAAATGGAAATGAACTGCTTTACTATATCTGGCAGTGTTCTGCTGAAAGGGTTTTCCCAGCATGTCAGCGAGGGTTTGAACAGCTTTGCTAAATAAAGAAGCTGAATTCTGATTCAAAATCTGTGATGTGTCAATTCTGATTCACTCGCTGCATGTATTTTCTCTCATCAGGGATGGACCCAACTTCTCAGACATCCCAGGAGCTTCTTATTCCCAATGACGTAAGAAAAACCTGCATCCCGCTCAGATCTGATTTTACATCCATACAGCGCTGCAGCAGATGACGAGCTAGAACAAAGACGTTGCAGCATGAGAGATGAAAGCCATGTGGACGACTAACTAATTACCCTCATTAGTTTAACCTCAGACTAGACCAAGGTTAAAGGGATTCTGAGCAGATATGGATCCTCTCGCATCATCGTGTGGGCTGAAGTAGCAGTGTCTTAGAGTGACTCCCATGAGTGATGAGTAAATCCTCTCATGTTTCCTGACCTACTTAGAGGCTGTCTGCTGTCAAAACAGCCAATAAGAAAACAGAAGTATCCTTTCCCTCCTCACTTAGCCTCCGCCAGGGTTTGATGACCAGACTCTCTGATCTGAGAGTGGAAATCAGAGAGAAATAATGAGCGCAGCGTTCAGCACGGCAGCTTCGCTCAGAGAGTCGTGTCAGCTCTGGCTGTAAGTGGTAGCATCACCTCAACAGGGAGAGTAAACACTGCAATAAGGGTATTCGTATTAAAGTTTTTTTTCTTCTTCTTTCGGCTGCGCCATTCCTCAGCGGTCGCCACAGTGAACTAACTCACATGAAGACTTGGCAATTGATTTATGCTGGACGCCCATCCTGAGGCAACCACAGACCACCGAGCTACCACAGCCCTCTGTGTGGAGCAGAGAGCTGCTATCTAGGGTTCCCAGGGGAGCAGATGGTGGGGGTTAAGGGCCTTGCTCAAGAGCCCAGAGTGGGGCAAATGAGGGTGGAGGCAGGTGTGGGTGCTTCACCTTTCCCTTTCACCTTCACTAACCTCTGCACTGCCACTTCCCATAAGAGTATTTGTATTAACGTGTAGGTAACAGAAATGCTTGTGTAATTACATTTTA